GGGGGGGGGGGGGGGGGGGGGGGGTAGAAGACCGTGTTTGTTTCTGAGAATCGTCACTGTCAAAAATGAAAGGATGCAGATGTGCCTCAGTCGGTCTTCCATTTGTTTTCCTATCCCCCCCCCCCCCCCCCCCCCCTTCTGTTCTGGGTCTCCAGTGGGTTATTCTGGAGTTGGACCATGAGTCTGTTTATAAAGTCAAACCCCCTCTTCGACTCCCAAGGCTATTACCCAGAGGTTCCCACGCTTATGGCTGCCTTCTCAGGCCTAAGTGTTTTTTGTTTTTTTTCTTTCTCTTTGCATTCACACTCTTCGTTGTGCATGCCCATTCTTCTTCTAAACCAGCCAGTGCTGTCAAATTCATCCTAAAGCTACAGGGAGCAGCTCTGACAGTGTGGGGCTGCAGAGCTTCTGGAAAGGGTTTAGAACAAGCTGACGATAAACGGTCTGTGTGGTGGTATGTTGCCCTGTTTTTTTGGGGGTTTTTTTTTCACCAGGATGTTCCTGAAACAGGCTCCATTGAGCTTTTCAGCTTGATCTTGGCCTGCGGCTGAGATGGAAGAGTGGGAGGCAAGTTTTCCCCTTGTACCCGCTCATTTGATCAGCTTTTTGTTTTTTTTTCCCCTTTTATGCCACCCAAGAGAAACTCGCCCAAAAAGGAGCAGCTTTTGTTGCTGGGTGTGAAAAATATCCCTGTCATTATTTTCCCATAACAAGAGCAGGGGAGGCTGATTCAATAATAAACATGTCTCTCGGAAAATAAATGATTGTTTGTGTTTTGCTGGTGTTGCTTTTATGGTTTGGGGAAAAGTTTTTATATCGTCATCCGAGCTCAGTCAAAAATCTTTGATTCTGTCATTTTAATTAATTCCACACGGGCCAAACAACAACAGCAGCAGCAGCAACAACAACAACAACAACATATATGGAAGGTAATGAATAATAAGACAACGTCAAAGCATGTTCTGTGTGCTTTCTTGAGGATGAGGCCTGAAGCTGTCTGCAACCTCTGACAGGAAATGGTGCTGCTTGCTTACTTGCAGCAGATTGTTTCTATGGGAACCAAAGCAGGTGTCTGCCTTAACAGGAAGAGAAGAAGAGGCTCAGCTGGTAGCAGCGAAGGGGGGCGGGGGCAAAAGAAAGAGGTCATTGCACTAAAAAGCCTGCCACCACATTACCGTTTTTTTCTTTTATTGGTACCACTAACGAAAGCTAATCTTGCCTTTGATCTTTTTTGAAAGCTTATTAGAAACCCAAATCGGTTATTCTGATGCCTTTTATTTTGTTTGTTTTTAGTGTGACAGCATAAAGACCAGAAACAAGGTGCTGTGTCAGTACAACAAGGTAATCATTTCCTCCAGATTTCACACCCAGGTTATAGACATGTCTGTGTTTTTATTATTTTTTATTTTTATAGGTGTCTGCAAGATCAAATGCAGGTATTTTCCACAGACCACCTTGACATTTCGCTGTTTGTGTTATTTTATATTGGGTTGGATAGTTAATGAAAAACCCTGCCCCTGTCCTCTGTTCCACCACCTGAAGAGAAGGAGGAGGAGGAGGAGGAGGAGGAGGAAGTAAGTGTGTCTGGCTGGCTGCCTGTGGTGAGGTTTCGTCAGTCGGAGCTTTTAATAATGCAGAAACACTTTCCATAAGCTGCCACTCAAGCCTCCAAGGGTTTACACACGTGTGTTTAAGAAGAGGATCGGTATGAAATATTGTAGGTCATGTCTTTTGATCTTAAGTCGCCATATGTGCTGGAGAAAGTCGAGTTTCTCCTGTATACAAAGCCTTGCAAAAGTATTAATGTCCCTTGAACGCCTCCTATTTTGTCTTTCAGGCTGAGTCACAAATGCCAGGGTATCTTATTGGGATTGTATGCGATGACCGATGCAAAGTAGCGCTTAAAGTTGAAGAAAAATATTGTTTTGTATCTAATGTGTGTTGGGCCCTTGGTAAAGTACATTGACGTTTGCTGATGTGTTACAGGCTGTATCAATATTTCTGCAAGGCATTATAAAGCGAGCGTGCATGTTGAATGTTTTGCTGAAATTGAAATTCACTACACTAAATATTTTGGTTGTATTTTTTTTGTAAAGTTGAATCATTAATGTAAACATATGGTACACAATTATGAAGAATAATGTTTGCACCTTTGCAGGGATTTGTAAATTTTACCTATGTTCTAATGAAATGAGGCTGTAGTGAAAACTGTTTTTTTTTTATTTTTTATTATAAAATCTAATTATTGGTGACTACGAATTTATTTTGCCGAAACAAATTCCAGGGGGTGACGCCAACACTGTCTATTTTAATTGCTATCGTGTTGCTCTGGTGAAATGTGTGACATGTCCCTGTTAAACTAAAACTTTACCTAATGACCAAAAACCATTGTCTCAGCTTTATATCAGCACCTAATATGTTTATATTCAACCATGACTAATTCTCCTCAACACAACGCTTCGAAGTGCATATTAATTAACTTGTTTTTTTTTTATTTAAGAAGATTGAAGACTAAGATCTAACTTTCTGCACTATATATGGCACATGACAGCTTTACCCTTATATTCTCTGTGATCTTATTTACCTTTTTTTGGCCTATGTGTATAATTCTTAGCATGTTGATATTACTACAGCCATTCTAAATAAACACTCAAGCGGTGACTTGTTCAGCTTGATGTTTAATTGTTGAGTTAGAGGAAGAAAGTCGTACATTAAAGCTCAGTTTTACGATGACATTCATGACCACAGTGAGTGAATGTCAACTTCAGGCCACAGCAGTAATTTGCTCTTATTTACTAATTATAAGGTTATTTAATGTATGCGTTTGTGTCTTTATGTGCTTGTGTGTGTGTGTGTGAAGGCAGTCGAAGCTCAGTTTGCTAGCGGGTTATTCCCAGCAGCCCTCAGCTATCCTTTTCTGATTCCACGAGGTCTGTGGTTGGTGCTTTGCTCTCTCTTGTAATGCTGTTTTCACATAGAATCCTGTGGTCCTCTCACCATCCCTTTACTGCATTTTAGTGGCCAAAATGCAGTAAAGGGATGAGCGGGGAGCCCTGCTTTTCATTACCGAGTTGTTTGTTAGCTCCAGTTCGTGCAATTAGCGGAGCCTTTTTTTTTTGTTTTTTTTTTTGTTTGTTTTGTTTTGTTTTTTTTGTTGGAGAAAATGGCTGAATCTGAAAGTTTATTTTTCTGTGGCTCACAAACATATATTTGCTTATAACTTTAACTTCTAATCCAGAGAACTTTTATTTGAACACTTGGTGCTTTTTGTCCTTCTGTTGTAAGCAAATGAAGAAGAAAAAATCAGGCATTATCAGCATGGTTTTCTCATGATGTCAGTTGTATAAATCTTTCACAAATGTAAGATTATGGGACAAGTCTCATAACAAATGATCCTCTCATACCACCATGACATGGGGAGACAAAGAACTTTAGAAGATAAGTCAATAAAAAAATGCTGCCATCATCAACACAACACTTTATAGCAGATATTTGCTGGTGAAATTATTTGAAAAGTCACCATTTCCAGACGGACTATCCATCTGCTACCTTTCTGCTGTGAACCGTCATTTATTTTGTGGTATTTGAGATCCTGAAAGAGGGCCCACAAAAAGTATTAGCTTTTTATCTGATGAATTTCAAACTTTTTTTTTTTTTTTTTTTTTTTTTTTTTTAGGCATTTCCACATTAGGCATCATTAGCATTGATCAGCAGTTTCTCTAATTACTAGCTTGTAAATATTCCTACCTTTCAGGCTCCTGAAATTTCCAAAGGCTTTAAGATCTGTGGCAGATAGCGGTTTGGATGAAGCAATTTTCTGTATTGCACTAAGCTTTCATATTCTTTCATAAACGTCTTGTGGCTTCCTTGTGTCACACTGGAGTTACTATTATTGTTACAGTTTTGAGATAACTACTTGAAAAATCTGTGTGTTTTTAAGCAGTTGTTTGTATGCAGTATGTGAGGTTGGAATGAACCTTTAATTGAAGAGAGGTTTTAGCTTATATTGCATTGGTCCCTTCTCTACTTGCGGTTCACCATCTTTTTGTTCCCTCCTTGTAATTTTGTTTTATTTCTATTTACTTCTAGGTTTCCCGGCTGACTGGAGTTGAGAAGCACCATTATTCCTTCTGAGGCTAATAAAGATTGAGATCTTGACTAGCTCTCACTACACACCACCATGCCGATCTTAAAGCAGCTAGTCTCCACCTCTTCCCAGACAAAGCGTCGCTCACGTATGGACTTGACCAGGGAGATGATAAGTGCTCCCCTTGGTGATTTCCGTCACACCATGCACGTAGGTCGCAGTGGCGACGCTTTTGGAGACACGTCCTTCCTGAGCTCACGCTCCGGGGAGCCCTCCCCAGAGACGGCGTCCTTTCCCCGCTCTCCTAGACCCGGCCTTTTGGCACGCACCTTCAGGAGCAGCAAGCGCTCGCAGTCGGTGACGCGAGTGGACCAGCGGAACGATCACGCCCTGACGGTTCCTGGAGGCTCACCAACCTTTGTTAAAAACGCCATGTCGCTGCCTTTTCTCAACGACGAAAACAGAGGGGACAACCTCGTGTCTAAGAGCTTGTCTTCGAGTCCGTTTAAGCAGCACGGGGAGCCCGACGGTGGCGGTGCAGCTGCTGCGGCGAACTTACTCGAGCTGCAAGAAAGAAGCTTCGGTGAACTGACGGAGCTGCCAGAGAGTATCGTCCACTACGGCGGAGGCGGAATGAAGCACGCAGAGTCGGTCATGTCCTTCCACGTCGACTTGGGACCCTCCATGCTGAACGACATCTTGGACGTGATGCAGAAGGAGGAAGACGATCTTGGCTACGAGGAAGGCAAAAGCAGCGAGGGCCGTGCCTCGCCGGCACTGAGCAACCACTGTGAGGAAGAGGACGACGAGAAGAAGGACGAGGAGGATGAAGGCAGAGTCCAGCAGGTGGAGGCAGAAAGGGATGCAGCAGAGCATCCGGCCCACTCTAATGATCTGCGGGGGGAATACGAAGGTCCCTACACTCCGGAGTACACTCCCGAGATACGTCCCAAACATCTGCAGCACCTGGACAGCTGCTCCATGTCGAGCTCTGGCTCCGCTGCCTTGGATGAAAAGCCAAACTACCAGAATTACACAGGAGACACAGACAGCGCCACATTCAGTGCGCCGCCTGAGGAGGAGAGCAACTTCTCCTCTTTCTTGGAGGATGAAGATGATGAGATCCACGTATAAGAGTTCAGACTCAAAATGACCAGGCTCCGGAAGACCTTTGGCAGTGTGGGTTTTCACTCCGAGCAGCAAGACGACACTGTAGTCGGCTCCTGTGGGACCAGGAACTTTCAGCGTTTTATGGCTATAAAGAAAGTTTGATTACTCCTTTAGGATGTGCCCAACTCTACTCACCAGAGCGCCTTACCCTTTTGAACACTGACACGGATTGGGGAGTTCACTGTCCGAATACCATCCCAGAGATGAACAGGGAGTTCTGGCTGAAAAGAAACTAGCTGAGAAAAGAAAAGAAAACGAACTCAACTCTGCCTTTCAATTTCTCTTTGCTTCTGTTTGTCATTGTGCTTTTTCTCCCTGGCTGTGGGGACACCATGCTGCCCGAACCGAACAGAAGGCCTCTGTCACAAGCGCACCACTGGTGGGTGTCCTGACCCAATAAAGAGAGCTGTGTTTGTGACTGGAGTGCGAGGCCCAGCATCAAACCCCTTTCATCAGAAAATATTATGGCAGAGCTACAAATCTTTCAGACTTTTTTTTTGCCCTTATTCTCGCTCATGTAACTCAGGGTCCCCGTGACGCCGCCCGAGGGCAACCATCTCCTGCTTTATTGCAGGACCACAAAGCCTAAACCGAAATTCTGCTCTGTTAGTCTAGTGGATGCCACGCAGAGCAAAGCTCAGTCAGGGGGATGCTTTAAAGTGATGCATTGGGCTCACTACAAAGAAGCTTGTTATCACAGGAAACCGGGGAGGTGAAGAGTAGCGCGTGCCACATTCTTGGTTGTCCTTTTATCTCCCTTTCCATTGAACACATTGTTTTCTCTTTAAACTGATTCCCATCAGCACAAACTAGCTGCATTCCTTCTACGTTATTTTTTTTGTTTTGGCTTTTTGACTTGACTCGAGAGCGGTTGAAAACCACTTCCTTCCGGTTTGTCTCACTTTTAGATCCGAGCATCTGCTGTGCCGCAACTGAGCAGTTAAAAACTGATGCTCATTACTCAACAGACCCCATCACTACACACGAGGAAAGCTTTATGGTTAAAACTCAAATCTGCTGGCACGTAAAAGTAAGCCAGACGCTACTAGTATCTGTAGCTGTTTTAGTAGGGGAAAAAAAAACAGGTCCCTCTCTTTTTCTGTGTTCGTTTGAAGCGCGGATGAAACAGAAGCCTCAGCCAGAGATAGATGCAAGAGCATTAAGGAGAAGATTGCCGGTTTTATGCAAGTTGCACAGTCATTGCAGCTCGTCTCTACCTCTTGCATCATCGGATCCATGAGGCTTGAGCTGACTTGCGCAGATTGATTTCTGTGCCTTAACTGAAACTGACAGATGTGCCAAATTATAATATTCGAGGCCAAAAAAAAAAAACTTCATTTTGTGAAACTCTGTTTTGGGAGAGACTGAAGATGTCAGTCCTTGTCTTTTCTGTATGATCTTAATTTAGACTTTCACAATGAAAAGATTTGAATATGGATGGCCATTTAAGGGCAAAATTCTTGCAGGACAAAGGAGGTACATGATGAGTTTGCATAACTGGACATATTTGTCAGTTCCACACTACACAAAGTAATTATGTCTTTCTTGTTTTGTTTGAATGAGCCGCTATGTTTTCTTTATTCTTAATAAGCCTCACTGTCGTTGTCTGTGCTTTATATCTTTGACCTTTTTCCTATATTACCCAAATTAACCTATATTTTTCAATAAAAGAGAACCACACGCAACTTTGCTGTTGTATATTTTGTTAGGGTAAGATGCCTTGCTAATGTATTTGCACTCCTTGGACTTTTTCACATGGTGTCAACTTACAGCTTCAGTCTCCAATGTATTTTGTGGGAATTTCATGTGAAAAATAAAGTCCTACCTAATTGGGATGTGGATTAAAAATCTGAAAACTGTTATGCCCGTCTCCTAGGCCCCCCAAAGTCTATACTACGCTCGATCCCCTTTTGATGTAGTTACTACTTTGGGTTGTGTGGGGTATGTCTACACCACCTTTGCACTTTTGGGGACCTAAATTCATCGGTCATTCCTTTTTTGCATAATACCTAAAGCTCAGTCAGATTGAATGGTGAGCTGTGAATATTTTTTGCGCAATGAAGTTTAGACTTTGATTAGGCCACTTCTGACCAGAACCATTGCAATTTAGCCAAGTTTAATAAAAATAAGATAAACTGAAATTAGGGCACGTCAATGTCATCCAGACCTCAACAATTCTTAAAATGAGGGGGGTGCTGCACAAAATCTGTGCAGGAGCCAGAAATGGCCCGTCAACCTGCACTTTGGACACCTCTGAAATGAGATAAAGCAGTTCAAGGGGAATAAATACTTTTCCAGGACACTGTAGGACATCATAGAATATGCTGTGCTACTCAGTTCGCGCTTAACACAGGAATTCCTTGAGTGCCGCCTCTGTTTCCCGTCTCTATTCTTTGGCTCTCCCAGAAGAGGAAGGAAGGAAGCAATAGAGGCCTTGGTGAGCTATATTTATTAAGTGTACAATCTTAAAATGATGTGATGACTCGAGATAAAGTGTGTGTGGATAAATGGGTTGTGTTTAAAATGTGAGCAGGGTGAAAGACCAATTATTTACCGGCAACAAAAAGCTTAACTGACGGACATGCATAAGAGGATAATGCCTCTCACACAGCTGATTGGAAGATGGATCACCGTGACGTTCAGCTCTCGCCAGCATCCAGCTCATCATCATGGACTCCAAACAGTTTTGTCACTTTTGATTTTCTTGACCATCCTTCGCTTTTTTTCACGGACAGGCGAGCCTCTGGCAGCTCGGCTGAAGTTCGGTGCTGCCTGTTTTAACAGCTCGAGTGCTTCCCGTCAGAGCTGCTCCCTTAAAAAAAAATATATATATATATATATATATATATATATATTTTTGTGTGAATTGGTGATTCATTCTCTCATCCTCACCTCAGTGGTATTTTAATCTCTTTTAACTCTCAGTTTGTCACAGTCACGATATTTCACAGTCTAACCTGCCAGAGGGCTGGAAAAAAGTCATTATTCCTACACTTCTGGTGAAACAAGCAATTCAAATTGATTGGTCGTGGTCAATACAAACCGGTGGAGGTATTGATCTGACTGTATGTCATTTTTCCTCTTGAAGACTGATTAAAAGAATTTTGTGATAAGACTAAATCTTAAAAAGGCATTTTTTTTTTATTCGATATTGAAAATCTTCTTTAATAATCCATTTAACTGCTTTATATGTTCTCCTTTGCTACTGATCTAATTGAAACTCAGTCATCTACTGCCATCTAGTGGTTATTCAGATTTTTGGATTTGCTAGGCGTGTCCGTTTAACCCTGACTTGCATTTTTGATGTCTAAATTAAACCATTTACAAATTCTTTATCTTACTTCTTTGAAGTACTTTTTTCTGTTGTTTAATTCTATCAAGTTTATGACCATTATATTTTATTTACAATTGTGAGGTTTCATTCAGGGCTTCCAGAGAGACTTATTTACAGGATTAGAGAAGCTGTGAAAAACAACTACTCTAGTTGTCCCGCACATTTTTTACAAGACACCGGAGACGCCCGATTTGTTCAGGTGGCTCAACTCGCCTCCCTCCCCCATTCAGACCCCTATTGTAACTCGAGTCTTGCCTTGCAGCTGTTTTTCCCGCTCAAATACACTCTCATCCTGTTTCTGAGGCTGTCAAATGTCATTTCCCGTTGGTTCTTAGCTTACCTAAGAAAAAAAAACCTTTTTTTTTTTTTTTTTTTTTTTTTTTTTTTTCCTTAAAAGGGCCCCCCAAGGGGGGGCGCCCGCTTTTTTTTTTTTTTAAGGTGCGGGAG